GGRWWWTKGGRARRAAWTYYTYCCCTGTGAGGGTGRKGAGGCCCTGGCACAGGGTGCCCAGAGAAGCTGTGGCTGCCCCTGRATCCCTGGMAGTGTCCAAGGCCAGGYTGGACAGGGCTTGGAGCACCCTGGGACAGTGGAAGKTGTYCCTGCCCATGRCAGGRGTGTTSTTGGATRAGCTTTRAKGTCTCTTCCAACCCAAACYATATCATGATTCCATGRCTAYAAAAACWTCCAGGCACAGCTTATSAGCTGGTGSTATCTGCACTGCAGGTATTTGCAGAAAAGYGGGATATATCCTGGTCTGGATTTTTTATTCAATTATCTCAGGGCTTTTTCAACTTTTTCAACTTTCAACAATTCTATGACTCTACAGAGGCTTCACTGAGGGAAAATCATGTTAAAAGTTAGGTGCTGGGTTTGTCCTTGCAGTAGGACATCGTGCCAGGTGGTCACAGAACCAGAACACTGTGTTGGTAAATTAACACCTGCTTTCTCAAACCTGATCCAAAGTTCATYYCATTCCACCCCCTGCYATGGGTAGGGACACCTTCCACTGGATCAAGTGGCTCCAAGCCCCATCCTCTGTCCTGACCTGATCACATTGCTTTGGATGCAGCCCATCATCAACCCCAGTGGCATTTGAAAAAGGGCTAAAAGTGCTATAATATCCCAGGTTCCTATAAAAATGGACAGATGGGTAAAGGAGTGGAAACTTCTACACTCTTCCTCACAGAAGAAAAGTTCAAAGCAGTTTCAGGCCCTGGTTAAACATCAGAAAGCTCACTAAAAATCCACCACAATAAACAATCCCAGTAAAAAACAAACTTCTTTAGTATTGTTGTGCACAGGACGATCTGATAAAATAAAAAAGTTATTTGAAAGTAGGAGGATAGAAGACAGAACATTTAATTACTTTGATTTTCTGGGAAGTTCCTTGTACTTCCCGGGATTTTCTGAGTTATGGTGGAAGTGGCAGATTTGACACAGGAAAAGGAATGCAGATTGCTSTGGAATAATTATCTATGGTCCAGAGCATTGGATCAAACTGGAACAAGAGCAGCTGGGAAGAGTTATTCCATCTGCCACGTGTCTGTCCTTGGTCCTGGCCCATGGGAGTCATACATTGATTAAAAACACCAGCAAACACCTCAAAAGCTGCTGGGTACCACACTCTGGTTGGATTTATTGAACATCACCCAAGCAAGGGGCACCACAGGATGTTTCCATCAAATGGGCTCATGGAAAATTAGCATAAATTCATTAAATTATAGGGTATGAATGGGTGGGTGG